TTTGGCTGAGATTAACAGACTGAAATGCTGTTTTTCCCTCTCACCGCTGAGCCAGTAGCAATTCTGATACCTCATTCTTTCTTTGTTTGCTGCTGGTGTTGAAGATGAGACTGTGGAGAACTCTCAAGTGAACTCTAACTTCAGACATGAAAGGAATTCTGGCACACTTTTTTTTCTTTTCTTTTTTCTTTTTTTTTTGAATCGACAGGACTTGTGGTTTAGGTCTTTTTGTAAGCGTTTTGATAAGGTGAGAGGACTTTCCTCAGATGAGTCTTCTGAAAGAATATTACATAAATCTACAGAATAATAAAGGCATGAAGAGACCTTTTTCTTTTTGTGTGTCATGCATTTCAGCTAAATACTTTGGCGTTTCGAAAACCAAGCTGATGACATCTGCTTATAGATATTATTGGCTATTATTCAAGTACCTTATGGGTTTGTAATGGAAACAACTGATGCATTAGAAAGATATTATGAGTCTTACAATATTTTCTATCAATGTCCAATTTCATCAGTATTTTCAGGAATTATGTTGTTACATTATGAATTGTAGTGTAAGAAAACTTAAGCCTACCAATTCAGATAAGTGGTTCATAAACACTGGCATCCTAGGAGCAGGTGACCCTGTGCAAACTTAGTTTTTGCCCACCCTGTTCTTGTTGTTATTTTGAATTCACTGAAGGTGGACAATCATTATGCATTATTTACTCTATTGAATCTGACTGGAAACATCACAAGCAGTCTGATCCTTTCCAGCTATTCATGCAAGAGTATTCATAGTATTTCATCATGCAAGCATTAAATAACTTATTTTAAGACAGGGATGCTATTTCATAATTTTTTAATGTGGAATGTCTTTCATTTGTTGTCTGTCAATGGTGCTAAAATAGTGTTATCCTCTGTTTTTTGAGGGACAGTATCAGCTAATTTTATATTATGCTTACTTGAATGGATGTAAAAATCATTGATGTATGCAATGTATCTTAATAAACGTGCATTATTTGGCAAAGAAAAACCATATACATTCCTACAGTTTGGACAAATGAATTATCTTATTTCTTCATATTGCACCCTCTTGTGGTGTATTGCAATATGGTAAACACATTGTACTAGATGCTATATACACTTTATTCACTAAAGGGTGCTCTAACAAAATGAAAAGGTGGAGTTTTGGACACAGTATGCATGTATCCACAGAATATAGATACTGTATATAGTGCTTGCAACATTTTCTGTTGCATACTGTATAGCCTACTGTTTCATATACTACTTTTTTAATTAGTAGACAGCATACAATATACACAGTAAGCAGTACAGTAGTATTTCATTCAGAACAACCCTTTGTAACCAGAAACCCGTGTTTTTACTTGTCCACCATATAACACCAATTTATATTTCATACAGGGCAGCCTATGTGAAGATGTGCCCTTTGCTGGTTAACGCATTCAGTAGTTTATTTAACAGGCCTATGCTCTTCAGATGATTAATTACATGTCTGTTTTTACAAAAACAACAAACTACCAATTTTACAAAAAAAATATAAAGTGGAGTTACACCACGTCTACACCGGACTCAGGTGTGACAAAAGACAACAGAACCCATTCTAAGCAGTGATGCTGTCTATGCTGGATGCAGCACGGCATACTGTCGGGGATTTGTCGTGTCACGTTGTGCCGCTCGCTTTGAAAAACTTGCATTACAATTTATTTTAAATCATCAGTCAAATTTAGAACGCACTAAACGTTCGCACAAATCACATACGTCTGATTGGAGGCCTATATCAAAATCTGTATTTGTTTTAACTGGTTTTGAGAACTGCAGACTTTGTTAGAGTGCTAAGGATAAGAGAGAAATGAGGTTGCACGGAAAGCTCTTATGGACATATTTTGGGCGTGTTCAATGCAAATTTTACTAAGTGTGGGCACGCTCGTCCTCAAGATTGATCCAGAACCACCAACGCCTGGAGCTATGTTATGCGCATGCACCTGTTGTGAATCTGGAGAATTTTTAAACAGAATTTTATCTGGGGACATAAACACGCAAATTGTATGAAATTATTTATGAATAAGGCCCACTGTCTTCTAAAAACCTGTGCCAAGAAGTTGCGTTATACATAGCCAGTGGCTCAATCCGCATTGCTTTCATTGTAACAAGCTTTTCAGTTTCTCCTGCTGAACCTCACAGCATGATGCTTCTATCATTGTGCTTGATGGATACATTTTCTAATGATGGACTTAATTTGGTCTGCACCAAACATACATACATGTACATACAATTGTCGATTTGTATATTTTTATTCCTTAG